TCTTGGTAATCATTTTCAAAAGGCCATAACTTCTGAAATATTGAACGAATTTTCATGAAGTAAACATATATTTTAAAGTGGGTCACTTAATATCTATTATGTGGACAATTATATAGATTGTTCTCACCAAGTGCATGAGTTATGGGTAAAAATATACGAGTACTTCATATTGGGAATATATATGATTTTCTTCGTAAAGTTTTTCTAGGCACCATAACTTAAAAATAATGGTCAGATCTTCGCGAAATAAAATACTTTTTGAAAGTGCGGAACATGCTCTCTATTTCAATAAAAATTATATGAAAGTACCTCGCCAAAAACCTGTGTTATAGGTGAGCGTACCCAATTACCTCAATTTTGTTCATAATAGGATTATTGACAAAATTGAGGTAACTTCATCTCTACTCAAATTCTGTACTCCATAACATTCTCAATAGTGATCAGATGTTAGAGATATATCATATTTCGAATTAAAAACATTATTATAGGGCATCTGCTATTCTCCACTGCCACATCTAGCCTATTTAGTACACTCGGTTTTAAAACAATTTATTAACATTTAGTATTTTATTTACCCAACCAATTCATATGATGTCGTTTAACATTATCATCCAATGAACCGAAATAATGTCTTTACGATATTAAATCAATAGCCATGGAAATATGTGGGTAAATGGCAAAAGGGACTAAGTCAAAAAACCTAATAAAAAAATAAATTAAACAAAATAATTATTTCCCTAAAGATATGAGAAGAGTTCAAATAACTTTCAATCTCAGGCCTCCTTTTAATATTTTATTGAAATGTGTTGGTCGTGAATACTTAATTTTTATTATTTAAGAATGCTGTTGTTGTCTTTTCGGAAATTATTAGTTAGCATATTTTGCTATTGAGCGCATGACAAAGATGTCTTTCTCTTTCGAATACTATGTGAAATACTACAACTATTTTTTTTCTTGACAACGACGATGTATGAATGGATGTCATGGTTTGTGAAAATCTATTCAGATTTTTGCACAGTGGTTCACAAGGGTTGGCGTAGGGGAAGTTAGATTACAAGCAAACTGCTCTGATTGGCTTTAACATGGCGAAGTCCAGGTTTATCTTGGTCCCTCTTTCATCTCAATTGTGGACACTGACCTCCCCGCGGTGTCACCTGAGGTAGCTATTTTTCATAACCCATTGAAATAGAGAGCTAATATGTGCCGCGAGTTTACCCATAAGAACTATCAAAAATGGGTTGAGGCGTCGGGTTAGTTGCCCACACTCGGAAGACCCAACCTACTATGAAAAAGCAACGAAAAAGAAAACCAAACCAACCTAATGTTGACGACCCCCGAAAACGTATCTGGTATTCTGGTATCAAGTAGTGGCGGTGAAGAAGATACCCCAGAACCAATAAGATATGATGGTATAGAGTGCTTACAACCTAGCCAAGATGAGGTCATAAAAGCAATTAATCGGCTCAAGAACAATAAGGCAGCAGGAGCCGATGGGGGTTACCAGCCGAATTATTCAAGACTAGTGGTCAGATGCTGGCCAGGAGCATGCACCAGCTGATTAGTACAATTTGGCTAGAGGAATGCATTTCCAATGATTGGAGCGTCAGCATCCTGTGTCCCGTGCACAAAAAATTAGACAAGACCATATGTACCAACTATAGAGGAATAAATCTCCTTCCCATCGCATATAAAGTGGCATCCAGGGTGCTGTGTGAACGACTGAAGCCAATGGTCAATGACATTATTGGACCATACCAATGCGGCTTAAGACCTGGCAAATGCACCATTGACCAGATTTTCACTCTGCGCCAAATCCTGGAAAAACCCGACGAAAACACATCAACACATACCACCTATTCGTCGACTATAAAGCCACATTCGACAGGCCTATCCATTCAGAGGTGTTTAAAGCCATGTCTACGTTCGGCATAACTGCAAAATTAATACGGCTATCCAGGATAACTTTAAGTGGCACAAGATTAGCAGTTAAAACCGGAAAGGACCCTACGGAGCCCTTCAATACCGAACGAGGATTCAGACGAGGTGACAGTTTGTCGTGTGATCTTTTTAACATCCTGCTGGAAAATGTCATACGAGATGCAAAGGTGTCATACGAGATTTTTTAAATAATTTTTTTGGAGACCTCCACATGAGGCGTGGATTTTTTAAATACATTTTTTTGGAGACCTACATAAGTCGTGGTGGATTTTTTTAAAGATTTTAAGGATTTTTTGAGACCTCCACATAAGTAGGTCTATATGAGGCGTGGATTTTTTAAATAATTTTTTTGGAGACCTCCACATAAGGAGGTTAAATATTTTTTTTGGAGACCTCCAAATAAGGAGGTCTCTATGAGGTTAGGATTTTTTGAGACCTCCACATAAGGAGGTCTCTATGAGGCGTGGATTTTTTAAATGATTTTTTTGGAGACCTCCACATAAGGAGGTCTCTATGAAGCGTGGATTTTTTAAATATTTTTTTTGGAGACCTCCAAATAATGCGTGGTGGATCTTTTAAAGAATTTTTTTGGAGACCTCCACATAAGGCTTGGATTTTTTAAATAATTCTTTTAGGAGACCTCCACATAAGGCGTGGATTTTTTAAATATATTTTTGGGAGATCTCATCATAAGGTGTGGATTTTTTAAAGATTTTTTTGGAGACCTCCACATAAGGCGTGGATTTTTTAAATAATTTTTTTGGAGACCTCCACATAAGGCGTGGATTTTTTAATAACCTTTTTTGGAGACCTCCACATAGGGCGTGGATTTTTCAAATAATTTTTTTGGAGACCTACACATAAGGCGTGGATTTTTAATGAATTTTTTGGAGACCTACATAAGGCGTGGAGGGTTTTATATATCTTGGTATCGCCATAAATAAATCGAGTGACATCAGTTTTGAAATTCGGCGAAGGATTGTGATGGCCAACAGATGCTGCTATGGTCTGAGTAAGCAAATCAAAAGCAAGGCCACTTCCTGCCAGACCAAACTCACACTTTACAAGACGCTGATACTAACCGTGCTGTTGTATGGATCTGAAGCATGGGTACTTGCACAAGCAGGTGAGGCAGCTCTTGGGGTGTTTGAAAGAAAAATTCTCCGAAAGATCTACGGGCCGATCTGTGCCGAATGAACCACGAGCTTTACAATTTATACGCGGACATCGACATAGTCTGACGTGGTGAGCTGCATCGACTACGATGGCTAGGCCATGTAGCGCGAATGAATGAGAATGCTCCAGCTCAAAAGGCATATAAAAGCGGACCTGCTGACGGTTCTCGTAGAATGGGAAAGCCACGAACCAGATGGAAAGACCAAGTAGAAAACAACATCTTGGAACGTGGTCATTCGAATTGGCAGAGATGCGCACACAACCGACGCGCTTGGAAATCTTTTTTAAGCTCGGCATATGGAACAACCGTTCGGTAACAAGCCAGCTAAGTAGGTAAGGTTAAAAAAATCCACGCCTTTGGTTAGGACTTGAAAAAATAATTTTAAAAAATTTCATTCTCCTCGAAGATCCACAGCATCACCACGTACCACTGTCCATAGCTGAAAGAAAGTTGAATGGTGCATGTCGTTTACCAATTAACACCTTCACGGTATTTGTGTCGAACGATCAGAATAAGTTCAACTTTATTTACAAAAATCTTCAGTGATAATCGAGTCTTAAGAGCGAACAGTTGTCGGTCTTTTATAACGTGGAAGAAAATTTCGAAATTTTTTTCCGTTTCTGAAAAAAAACAAGAAGAAACAGAAAATAACACCGAAAGCAAATTTCTAACATTTTATTAAAAAAGAAGAAAACAAAAAAACGAAAATGGTTCTACGTAAATCGATGTACCGCAACTTGGTGCTAGTGATCATGGTTTTATTATTGAATAATTCCAAAGTGTTGTGTCAGAAAAATATAACTCTAACAACAAGTGGTGATAGTGAAAATATCAAAGAAAATCAAACAATTATCGAAATGACAGATTCTATTACATCGGGAAGAGCATCGGACGCAAATTCTTCATTGGCTATGAATTCGAGAAAAGCGCGTTGTGAGTAAATTTAAATTTTCCAGTTTCAAAAAAAAAAAAAAAAAAAAATTGTCGACAAAAACTCTCACTCTCAATATCGATCACTCACTCTCCCTCTCTCTCTCTCTCTCTCTCTCTGAGACAATAACAAATGACCGGTATTTTCCTCAATCCAAATTTTATAGCGCCATAGTCAGTCATCCATTGTCCGGTTGACGTAACGACATTCCCACCCAAAAACTTTGAAAAAAAAAAACTCTCTAATAGATTATCGAAATAAACAAAAAACAGTAACAAAAAAAAATTAACAAAAGTATTGAAAAGAGGAAGAAGATGATGATGAAAAAAACGCAAACACATGGATAAAAAAATTGGTTCATTGTCAACATTGACATTTTCCAAACTGGGTCACACACTCCGGCAGCGAAAGTGAATTGAAAATTACTTTCAATTGCGATGCGAATTGATTATGTGAATTAACAAAAACAAAACTGAACTAATACAACAAAATGAGATGATGATAAATTTTCCAAAGACCATTCATCGAGCTAACATGGACCAAGGGTTTGTTGTGAAATCCAATGGCAAATAAATAATAAATAAAATACAAAATTCACGAAATTCAGATCGGAGATAAAATATTGAGTTTTATGCAATTAAAAAATAATGACTATTAGATAATGACAGAGCATCTTTGGATCGAATTTTGCTATTGGAATTAAATCCGATCTATTTCCTGAATGTCTTCATAGACTAATTAACTACCCAACGACCAAGAAATTCCTCCAAAGCTTACATATTCAATTCGAGATGATTACTGAAATAGGTTCGGATTATTTCACTGATTATCTTCTCGAATTGTCATGAATTTATCATCTGATTATCAGGACCCACTGATAAGTAAATAATTAAATATAGCTACACAAATAGGAGGAGCTTCTGCCAAGTTCGAAAATAAAACCCTAAAGAGAATCGATTTTCTTTTCATCCATTGCCTGAGGATTTGAATACCAAATAAGGACTATATTTCATGGGAATAAGTTCAAGATGATATTCTTCCGAATATTGGAGTATGAAAACCTAGAATACCTGAAGAACAAAAATTTAAATTCTGGCTATGACTGTAAAATATTCCCTTGGTTGTGGAAAGGACAATATAATACAACATTTCGTAATACAAAATAAAAATTCTCATGATATTTTATTGAATTTTTTTTTTTCGAAAAAAAAAGAAAAGAATTTTCCATTAAAAAATTTAACTGGTATTCGCTTAGTATTCAATATGAAGACCATACAGTTGACGTAGTCTCCTATTTAAGGTAGAGTTGGGCAATCTAGTTCACTTAGCGGATCGATTTTTCTCGTTCCTTTTTAAAAAGGAACTAGTTCCTTAATGTAGTTCCTTTGCTCCATATAGTTCCTTTGCTCCATATAGTTCAGACTCCTACACAGTTCCTTTGAATCTCTCTCTTTCATCGTTGTTTTTGTTTTTTTTCATTTTTTCCCATATAGTTTATTTGCTCTATATATTTCCTTTGGCCCATATAGGAGCTTTTCTCCATACAAATCCTTTACTCCATACAGTCCCTTTGCTCAAAATAGTTCCTTTGCTCCACATAGTTCCGGCTCCTACATAGTTTCTTTGAATCTCTCTCTCTCTTTCATCGTTCTTTTTTTCGTTTTTTCCCATATATAGTTCTTTTGCTCCACATAGTTCCGTTGATCTTTATAGTACCTTTGCTCCATATAGTTCCTTTGATCCATAAAGTTCATTTGCTCTTTATAGTTCCTTTGCTCAATATAGTTCCTTTAATCCAAATAGTTACATTGCTCCATATAGTTCCGACTCCTACATAGTTCTTTTGAACCTCTCTCTTTCATCGTTCTTTTTTTCATTTTTTCCATATATAGTTCCTTTGCTCCATATAGTTCCTTTGCTCCATATAGTTCCTTCGCTCCATATAGTTCCTTTACTCAATACAGTTCCTTTGCTCCATATAGTTCCTTTGAATCTCTCTCTTTCATCGTTCTTTTTTTTCACTCACATAGTTCTGTGTTGATTTGTTAATAAACTGCAGGACGATAAGCACAAAATATTTGTTTTTATATACAAAAATATTTAAAAAAATTAACTATTTACACAATTTGAATAAAGAAACGAGATCAGAAAAAAAACGAGAAAAAAGGAAAAGACAAAAGAACGAGATCAAAAAGGAACGAGATCATAAAAAGGAACTATATTAATTACAGAGCTGGAACTAGTTCCGATCGTTCCTTTCTCGGAATAGTTCCAATGAACTAGTTCGTTCCGGAACTACCCAACTCTAATTTAAGGGTCCCATCCAAATTTGCCAATTTGAGGCCTGTAACTGCATTTTCCAAAAGAAAATACTGTAATTCAGCATTTTGGTGTTTGGAAGACTGGCATAGATCTCCGAAAAAAATATCATTACAGTACAATGTATTGACATATCCGAACCATAGTTTTAAGATATTACGGTCCTTAATTTACATTCACTGAAATTTTGGTAATCATCGGCCAATCCAAACCAAAGTTATAAGCAAAAATGTACTTAGCATGGCACGTACGATTAAAGAAACTTCCATACTTTGAAAACTTCTACTGAAAATCCCACTTTGTTCGGCGGCGTCGATATATGGACTATAAAAAAATTTCTTTTCGATTTTCTTCAGAATTGTCTGATCTTAAAGCCAATTCGACAGTACAAAGTTTTCATAGGTTTTCGTCAACACTTATTTTCAGAATATTTGTAACTTCTCTTAATGATCAATTTTTCTTTTAGTAATCTCGCATCAAATATTCGATTTTTATAGGATTAACAGATACGTTTTCCCAGAATTTTGGAGTAAAGTTGAACGTTCCGGAATGAAGTTATTCAATGAAACAATTCAGCAAAATGAACTGTTGGTACAAAGTTCTGTTCATTTTTGTTCTCCTTCGTGAAATTCCTGTTGGTCCACTCGATCATTTAGTTCATCCAATTTATTCCACTTTAATTGATACACTTCCATACCTTGGAGTTTGAGAATAAAATAAAGCCATTGATTGCCATGTCAGGAGGATGATGCATCCATTCCACATTTTGGGCGGTCAAAAAAGGTGCAAAAGGGTTTGAGCTGATGTGAAAGAGCTCGCTTGTCACGGCGCTCAATTATTCGTCTTCTCTTGTTCGTTTTTTCTCCAGAGTGTTCATTTAAAGCACAGCGAAGCTTTTAATGAGTCATTGGTAAATAGTGGCGGATCCAGGGAGAACAAATCTTTTTTTATGGCCAGGTGATCATGCATTATCGAATGTATGCTGCTGATAAAAATTACCAAGGATGCCCTTAACCGGCTATACATTTAACTACTAATTCGAAATTTAGTAGTGCATGCAGAAAGACCCAAAGTAGACGGAGAATATGTATTACAAAAATATTACTCATTCGATTTAACTGAAGAAATGTAATCTCAAAATACCTGTAATATTTACGTTTTTCTTCATGAGTGTCAGAATTTGCATAAAAAAAATCATCAGACCATAACCTAAAAATTTGATTTATGGCGAGTATGTTCTTCTTGGTTCGTAATATACTTTCGTCCCCATAATAAGAATTTTCCACACCCTAGACAATGATCTCCTTTTTGTGTTATAGTGTAATCAATCTCATTAGGTACTTTAAAATGTTGACGATGATAGGGATAAGTAAATCGACTAATCGATTAATCGACATTTGGTGTTGAAAAGTCTAAAATTCGTAATCGACTTTTGATCTTTGGGGAAATCGCCTTTCAAGATCGACTTCCGATTTTCTTGGTTTGTTATCACAAAGCCCGAATTGCCAAAAATTATACATTCCATAATTTCTTTTGACAACAATCCATATAGAAAATAAAATTTTTAATCGATTTAGCATTATGTAGTCGGTAAAAGTCGAAAATCGATTTTAAGTCAAAGACAAAAATCGTAAAGTCTGAAAATCGACTATTTGGCTAATGGCACAAATCGACAAGTCTAAAAAGTCTCGAATACGTATATCTAGTCTATGGTATGACGACCAACGGAGATATTCTCTAGAATAATTAGGTTTACAAATATGTTACATACATTTCAAACATAGGGATTTATTTCTACGATAATTTTTTCCATAATTTTTCGTATATTTCTTCGACACTGTGATGTAGGCAATTTAAAGTTCCCACCATTGCTTTGCGATTCTAGTTAAAACTAAACTTATTTCGTAGAATTATTACCACAGCATGAGTTCTTCTTCTAATATTTGTGAATAATAATTGGGCGCCATTATTTACCGGCAATACCCTCTAATACCAAACTTGGACGCCATTTTCTGCAAAGAAATTATTGCAAAAACCTGCCAATAAATTGGGAAGGAAAATGTAGGATTTTCGACCTTTGTCTCTGGCAAAAAATACAACTTTTCGAACATTAAATTTTCACATCAGTTCAAAATTGATTTTCGATTACTTTTAAATTTTTTTCAACAAAAGATCGTTTGGTCAAATATTGACTTATAGATTTTTTGTTTCGGCATATTTCTGATTAGTCGACTTATTATCATCTTATTTCTTTAATTGTATGATTATTTCCGAACCAATACCCTTTTCGAACCGTTAGACATAATTTTTTTGAAGATCAAACCTTCCAGAATCCAGTTTGTATTATTTGTTTTATAAAGAAAGATTCTGAAATTTGCAGCTGTGTTTTTTGCAAGTTTCAAATTTATCCTTAATAATATTGGAGAATATCAATATGGCGCACTTTTCCATTAAAACTGAGAATGTCAAACATAATTCTTAATATATAGACAAATTAAGTATACAAACATGTTTACTCTCCCATTGCTCGTTGGGCGCCAATTTTATTCAAATTGGAAATTTAATATTTCAGGGTTTAAGTGGGCTAGACATCAACAGCAGAAGTACATATTTGCATTTTTTATGCAAACTGGTCGGATTGTGACCGCGCTCCAATGTTTTGACCTGATCCTAAAACTCAAAG